TTAAGGGGTTAAAAGTTACAGGGTCAAATATAGCAGGTTCTGTTTTTCAGTTTATACATAATGAAATTTACCAGACTGGTTATGTTGCCTTTGAGACGGTATGGTAGCCCAGTAATACGAATTACCCCCATGATAGCATACCATTTGCAAAAGTAGACAACCCAAGGTATTACAAATGGGGTCCAGTCTTTTTTAGTAAACACTTTGTCACAAACACTGGCCAAAGTTAGCGTTCATATTTGTTTGTGTGTGAAAAATGCAAAAAAACGAATATGAATGCTAATTTTGGCAGGTGTTTGTGACTAAGTGGCTATTAAAAAAAAAAATGAATATACCCCACTTGCAATACTTTGGGTTGTCTACTTTTGCAAATAGTATGCCATCATGGGGGTAATTCTCATTCTTGGGCTACCACACGATCTCAAAGGCAACATAACCAATCTTGCAAATTTCAATTTGAAAAAACAGAAATGCAAGCCTTAAATTTGACTCCGTAACCTTTGTAAACACCGTAAAACCTGTGCGTGTGGGGTACTGTTATACTCGGGAGACTTCGCTGAACACAAATATCAGTGTTTAAAACAGTTAAATGTGTTAGTTCAGGCTTAACATAATATGTCTAAGTATTGTTGTATGCTAGAGTTACAAAGCCGACTGTATACATGCTAATGATAGTAGGATATGTTTGCCAAGTTTGTGTGTCAATGGCTGTGGGTGGATTGTGCATGGCTACACATTAATCGTGGCAGCTGATCACTGTGCGTAGTATTTGGACATGCATATAGGTTAGCCGTTCTAGTGTAATATCATACATGCTTGCTCATGGCTCTTACTCAGTGTTGCTAAAGATAAGTCATAACTGGTATAGAATGAAACTTAGGCATATATAAGCTAATGATTGGTAGGACACTGGTGTCCGAGTCCCAAGTTAGAAGAGAAATATATCGAGTCCCTTGTTCATCAGTACAGCCTAGATTTGGTGTCTCTGTAGGTCGTCGCGTTCCAGAACACATTTGCAGGGGTGCTCATGGTGCGGGAGCATGAGTGTATGGTTGACCCCTCTCACCCGATTCCCACCCTCGGCCGGTGTCTGTATCCCTCTGATGGGTTGTGGGTTCTCGGCGCCACTGGGGTGCGGGCATAGGTCTCCCTCCAGCGCCAGGCTGCTGTGTAGGCCTGCATCTTGGTATCACAAACTCCGCTGCTTCCAGAGCGGGAGTTTTCTCCTCTCTTGAGAGTTGCGGGGGGCCAGGTGGTGGGTCGCTGCGTGCAGCATTTGGGCTTGTGTGGGTGATGCCGCCGGGTCAAGACCCTCTTGGCCTTCAGCCAGGTGGGCTTTGGCGTGTTTGGGTTACTGAGTGGGTCCGTGCTGTACCCGAGGGTGCCTCCCTCATCTTCCGCTGCCTGAGTTCCCCCTCACCCGTTTCCAGAGCATCCAGTTGTCTGCACTGTGCTGTTTGCTTGTGGCTTTGGATTTTCTTCCAAAAGTCCTTGAACAGCCTATGTAGCCACTGTTCTATATCAGCTGCATCGTTGTGGCATGGTGTTTGGCTGGGTTAAATATAGCACTTGCGAACCAAATTCTCTGGACTTTCTGCCTGGGTTGTCAGGCAGGTCCCTTAACTTGTAATTAATTAAATTACTCAATTATTTAAAAATATTATATTAATATATATGTATAGTTTAAATATATATATATATATATATATATATATATATATACACACACACACACACACACTGCTAAAATAATAAAGGGAACACTTAAACAACACAATGTAACTCCAAGTCAATCACACTTCTGTGAAATCAAACTGTCCACTTAGGAAGCAACACTGAGTGACAATCAATTTCACATGCTGTTGTGCAAATGGGATAGACAACAGGTGGAAATTATAGGCAATTAGCAAGACACCCCCAATAAAGGAGTGGTTCTGCAGGTGGTGACCACAGACCACTTCTCAGTTCCTATGCTTCCTGGCTGATGTTTTGGTCACTTTTGAATGCTGGCATTGCTTTCACTCTAGTGGTAGCATGAGACAGAGTCTACAACCCACACAAGTGGCTCAGGTAGTGCAGCTCATCCAGGATGGCACATCAATGCGAGCTGTGGCAAGAAGGTTTGCTGTGTCTGTCAGCGTAGTGTCCAGAGCATGGACACTACCAGGAAACAGGCCAGTACATCAGGAGACGTGGAGGAGGCCATAGGAGGGCAGCAACCCAGCAGCAAGACCGTTACCTCCGCCTTTGTGCAAGGAGGAACAGCAGGAGCACTGCCAGAGCCCTGCAAAATGACCTCTAGCAGGCCACAAATGTGCATGTGTCTGCTCAAATGGTCAGAAAGAGACTCCATGAGGATGGTATGAGGGCCAGACATCCACAGGTGGGGGTTGTGCTTACAGCCCAACAGCGTGCAGGACGTTTGGCATTTGCCAGAGAACACCAAGATTGGCAAATTCGCCACTGGCGCCCTGTGCTCTTCACAGATGAAAGCAGGTTCAAAATGAGCACATGTGACAGACGTGACAGAGTCGGGAGACACTGTGGAGAACGTTCTGCTGCCTGCAACATCCTCCAGCATGACCGGTTTGGCAGTGGGTCAGTAATGGTGTGGGGGGGGGGGTGGCATTTCTTTGGGGGGCCACACAGCCCTCCATGTGCTCGCCAGAGAAAGCCTGACTTCCATTAGGTACCGAGATGAGATCCTCAGATCCCTTGTGAGACCATTTGCTGGTGTGGTTGGCCCTGGGTTCCTCCTAATGCAAGACAATGCTAGACCTCATGTGGCTGGAGTGTGTCAGCAGTTCCTGTAAGATGAAGGCATTGATGCTATGGACTGGCCCGCCCGTTCCCCAGACCTGAATCCAATTGAGCACATCTGGGACATCATGTCTCACTCCATCCACCGTCACGTTGCACCCCAGACTGTCCAGGAGTCGGCAGATGCTTTAGTCCAGGTCTGGGAGGAGATCCCTCAGGAGACCAACCGCCACCTCATCAGGAGCATGCACAGGCGTTGTAGGCAGGTCATACAGGCACGTGGAGGCCACAAACACTACTGAGCCTCATTTTGACTTTTTTAAGGACATTACATCAAAGTTGGATCAGCCTGTACTGTGTTTTTCCACATTAATTTTGAATGCGACTCCAAATCCAGACCTCCATGGGTTGAAAAATTTGATTTCCATTTTTTAATTTTTGTGTGATTTTGTTGTCAGCACATTCAACTATGTAAAGAACAAAGTATTTCAGAAGAATATTTAATTAATTGAGATCTAGGATGTGTTATTTTTGTGTTCCCTTTATTTTTTTGAGCAGTGTATATATACACTGTATAGTTTTTCAAAAATTATATATATATATATATATATATATATATATATACACAAGTATAGTGGCACTCACCCTTTCAATGAATCAGTAAAAGACTGCCTTGGTGCAATCCCACGCTGGATATGTAAAGCAAAAAGGAAAGAGATGCACTCTCAGGTCTTTGTAAAAAAACTCGATATTATTTAGTAACAGGTAACATACATCTGATCGACGTTTCGACCTCTTCAGGTCTTCCTCAAGATCTTGAGGAAGACCTGAAGAGGTCGAAACGTCGATCAGATGTATGTTACCTGTTATTAAATAATATCGAGTTTTTTTTACAAAGACCTGAGAGTGCATCTCTTTCCTTTTTGCTTTATATATATATATAATTTTTGTAAAACTATTTTTAATTATATATAGCTATATAGATACATATATGTATTTATAACGTCATTCTAAATGTATTTTAATTAAAATATACATGTATATAAATATAAAAATACAGGTAGAACCAAATTAAACAGATATATCATTTTGTTTGTTATTTATCGTTATTTATTTTTTTCAAATTATTTATAGATAATTTTTATTATATATATAATTAGTCATTGTAAGTATATTCTTATATATATATATATATAAAAATAATTACATGTAAATAAATATTAACATACACTTAGATTAATAGTTAATATGTGCATATAAAATTGTCCTTAAATTATATGATCTAAGGACATTTTATACAATTTAAAAACTGTTTTATTACTTTTATTAACTTTTACAACTTTTTTACAGGCTCTAGGGGGACAGCCTGAGACCTCAGTCCCCCTGCAGGCACTGCACAAGCCGGCGATTCCGGCCATGTGTTCGCAAGGACCCTATGATCAAATGACCGGGGGGGGGGGGGCTGGATTGGACAGAGGGGAGCTGCCTGAGCTCCCAGGCAGACCCCATGATTGCAACAGCCAACGGGGGATCAGCGGGCACCCGGTAAGTATTAAGGACGGGGGGACGTTCAGTGTTAGAGCCACCCCAAAAATGACTGCATAGAACGCCCGCTGTCCTTAAGGGCGTTAACTCTGAGCTGGACAGTACTCCCTTAATAGTACCCTATTATAAGGGAGATCAATTTCCTTGCCCTTCCAATCTGTTTCAGGATTGGTGAATTTACCAAGGGAAACGTAGATTCACGATTTTATTTTGTGGGGCCCCTTTCTCGTGAGATGTAACAAGTGCTTTTCTTGCAAATTCTCATATTATCAAATAATTTCCAGGAGTGATAGCATGCACCGGTTTCATTCTTGCTGGCTGTACAGCATTTGACCTGTTGTAAGAATACTAGAGGCTTGTGTTAATGACTTGCAAATATTCTTTACTTACTATTTAAACTCATACACAATAAACATTAACACATAACACACCAATTCATTACAAACCATAGAATTCACAAAAGACGTACCAATACAAAAAGCACATTAACTGATATTAAAATAAACAATAACCAGTCCGAAATAAGTTAGTAAAAAAAAAAAGTAAATAAACTTCACACTCCTTGTCCCTTGAAGCACAGTAAGACAATATTTAGGTTTCAATGCCTGGGGCATATTGAATTTTTTTTTTTTTTCAAAGGGCACGTAACAAACTTACAAAGTTGATGGATTACAAATGCAATCTTAAACTAATATCTCCAAATAAATATTTTACTCCATTCTCAAACTTCAGAGTGTAATGCTGATTAAATCGGCTACGGCTGGCAGGTTTATGACTATGGTGCCATCATCAGGCACGCCGGGTAGGAGGCAGAGTAGACTGGAGATGAAGGATCTCCCTTGTGGAATGATACGCATTGCAAAACTGAGGTATCCCAGTAGAGACTGGAGATCCCGCCGAGTACCAGTACATTTTTGGAGGAACTGGTCCAGTTCTTGTCTGATGCATACCAATTTCACATCGGGGAGGCATGCCTGCATAGACACTGAGTTGAGTGAGATACCCAGGAAAACCAACTGTGTTGTGGGGTCTATTGTTTTGTCGGGGGACAATGAGACATCTAGTGCCGAAAACAGTGCAGTGGTGCTAATGATACTACGTGGAGTGAGGGATCCTGCCTCAACCAGTAAAAAAAGTGTATGACCGTGGGGCATCTGACCCTATCCTGGAGCCGGTGGCAAAGTAATAATTGTGTCGAAAGTAACCTCGCCACTGGCTTTTGGAGGGGCCTGTTGGCCAGCCTCCTGCCCTGCGACTATGGCCCTGGGATGTATTGCCCTTTAAGGAACTGAGTTGGGGGCTTATGGACTCATATTATACTGTTACTGACCCTTTAAGAACTGTATTTGGGCATAATAGATTTTTATAATGCTGTTTCTGGCCATTTAATTACTTTGGAGCAGTGTTGCAACTTTAAATTGGCACTTCGGATAAAGCCGAAGTGCCGAATTAGTCGAAGTGGCCATTCGACAAACGAACACGTGGTGGCGGCCATCTTTTTTCATTCAAACGAGGTCAGCGGTATGTGTAGCCAAATCCATGGAACTGAAATCAGCAACACATTTCAATGAACACCGCTGACCCTTACCTTCTCCTGCACCGAGTTTTCAGCCACAGAGACTAAGTCCCGTTCGAAGATTCAAACACATGTTCGAATGGGACTTAGTAATTTTTTCAGTGTGAAATTGACCGACCGCACAGCCCAAATCTATGGAACTATTTTGGGCAGGAAAATGTGCTTGTGGTCAGTCATAAAGGACTTCCAGCTAACTCTTTAACCCCTGGATGGAATTGGTTGAATTTTGGATATGTTTGTAAGTAAAGTGCTGAGTTCAAATATGTAATTTTTATGAAGATTGAATGTATAGTTTTAGAGTTATGAAAGTTGGGTAAAAAGTATGTTTTAAAATGTACGGATAATTGGGTTACCTCTCAGGCTGAGGGGAGGAGATGTGTGGGATGTAACCATTGTGTGATTGGGTATGGTATAATTGTCTATGGGCGTCTCTTGCATGAGAGAATTGCATAAAAGCAGAGTGTGTCATTAAACCTTCTTCACCCTTAATCTAAGTTCTTCTTCACCCTTAATCTAGAGTCCTGTCTCTTATTGGGGGAATTGCTATATCACTACAAGGGATTGCTATGCTCTGCATGCTCCCTTGGATAATCACTTCTAAGCTCTTTTAAGAGCTTGTTCCTGCTTCACTCTCTTGGAGGAGAGGTTCACCCACTGGAACCTGGAGCCTGGTCGTAGGTCCAGGGTGGGTAGGAGACGGCGAGACCCCAACCAAGCTGCGGCGTTTCGTGGGGTCTGCAGTGGTTGTGGTGTCTGCGGAGCGCTTGGAGCCCTCTGTAAGTGCTAGGAGCATCCTTCAATGGAGGTACCCAGTCGGGGTGCCAGGTGATCCGTTACAATAATGATCCTTCCATTTGATGCCATGGATATGCTAGAGAGACAGATGGATCGGTAGTAATTTGAAGGTGTTAGTTATATCTGTCTTAGTAAGCCAGGCTTGTTTTCCGGCCAGTAGTATAGTTTGTATGGCATGATCCACGGAGGCATATTGAAGAGGGAATTCTTCAGCCGGTATTAATGAATTGAAACTAGGGTATTTTGAAGAATGAGGCACTGACAAATCGATAATCAAACATTATTTATTAGATGTGCTGTTGGTAACCACTCCAATAGGGTTCGTGCGCCTTGTAGAAAAAGGAGGGTGTAGAAAAGGACCGATCATAAAGCCTGATGTGGTCTCTCTCTGTAGCAACTCGTCAACGGCAGATGGGTCGTTTGTAGCCGAGAGTAAATTAGGACATTCCAGTGTGCCTGTTGGGAGTGCTACTAACCCTGTGTGAAAACCCTCAGAAAAAACAGAAATCAAATATTGCACCAGGTGAGGGTAGGGGGGCTGCGTAAATGGTAAGCTAAGGTGTCAATGTTTACCACCATCAGTCATTTCCTAGGGAAAAGCTTAGAAGAGCACATGGCTCCAGCATTAAGGTTGTTGCATATCTGCGCCTTGCCCTGGAATACTACTGGTCTGCCCAGCTTATCTCTCTGTCCCTATCCTAACTGACGGAGGTGTTGGGGGATGAGTAGGAAGTGGGACACAAGTTAGAGGAGTGTGAGGTAGAGGAGCAAACCGCATAAGACGGGGGGTCTCAAGCTGGCAAAATGCCTGCAGAACAGCTCTGTATTCAACTGACTCCAATCGATGCAAATGTTGGACTGGGCCAGAGCCGCTGCTGCCTTAGATGAAACCGACCTGTGATAATCATGGAAGGCAAAACCACCGTACTTGTGCCCCAGGTCCACCACCTTGTGTAGATAGAGGTCAAATTCCTCTTGCCTCTGAGGATATACAGAGCAGATGACGTCTCTGTATAGCCTGAAGCTGAGAACAAATTCGGGGATGGAGAGCTTCTTATTAAGACGTGGGTCCCTTGTTTTGAGGATCACTGACATGTCTCCAAAACTAAAAGCTCTATTTTCTAGAATATCCTGCGAAGCTATAAGGAGAGAGACTAGACTGACATCCTTGTCATCCAGAATGTCTTTCCTAATTGAAGCTGAATTTACAGGGTTGATGCCATGTAAAGTGGAGGGAGTGATAGTAATTTCCCTACCTTGCATGTTTGAAGGTGCAGGTGCTGGCCCTGGAGTGTGAGGTGCTGGTGAGATAGGTCTAATGGGTGTACTGGGCCTGGGGTGAGAGCCCTGGAGAGACAAGTTGTCTTCATGGAGTGATTCTTGCGACATCCTATGAAGAGATAAGTAAATACAAAACTTTGAGTCAATGGTGAAATACTGTATATAGAACTGGCTTGCTAACTAGTGCCGGTGGCGAAGAACTTAACTACCTGTGATAGGTGAATCCCTACTAATTGCCAAGCCATACATACACACACACACATATATATATATATATATATATATATATATAAAATACAGAATCCAGCGCACTCGCTTATACACTAAACAATGATTTCAAATCGTAGAGATTGTAATAGTTTTATTTAAAAACACCTCACCTAGGCAAAAAATGATGGGGGTTTAGTTACATTATGTGATCATACATTGCATAAGCCTGCCAACTACATAATTGCAATGTATGATCATATAATGTGGTGAGTGGGTGTCCTTGGAGTAGAAGTAGTGGAGTGTCTGGTGAGTGCATGTGTGAGATAACAGGAGCAAATCCAGAATGTGTACTGGGCACCACAGATTCTGGATAGGAAAGAGGGGAATGATAGTGGGATAGGCAGAGTGATTGGTTTTAGTTGAAGGTAGGAGATTATGTAATGGCCGTCTACTTTCTTTAAGTGAGAAAGTTTAAGACATTGGACTGTGTCTCTGTAACGGACCGTTTTGCCCACAAGAGGTTAAAAACCGTTTAGGCGATATTCCCCTTTTTCAGATGTACAGACAGCTACTGCAAGCACCAATCTCCCAAACTGCAAACCCACGAATTCACCAACGCCCAAACTGCAACCAAGGGAATACTCGAAACTCCCGAACTAGAGACACACGAATAGCTGTTAGCAGACGAACAGGAAAAGCCCCCAAGCGGCTTACACTCCTGGCAATCAGTCTCTAACAGCATACAGTAAATCCCCCCCAAAGACGAGACGACATTTCGGTTTGAGGGTCAAGCAAAATCTGGTTTACTGGGGCTAACTGCCCAGCTTTTATGCAGGTCTCCCACCTGGTGGACCAAATGGGAAACTGGGAAACATATTGGCTCTTAGCCAATCACATACATACACCTTTAAACACTCCCACAATTACATCACAATCCCTCCTCTCTGTCCTGGAGATAATTGGGAAGTAATCCAATTATCTCCCAGGACAGAGGCAAAACTCCATTAACCACATGGCAGTAACAATACAGTAAAAGACATATAATTACATACAGTTACATTTATTCCATAAAACATATACATTACTACCGAATGGCGCTCAGATCACATACATACATACAGTTCAATTACCATGGAGCCAAAGTCTTTCCCATAGTCTTTCATTACACGGATAGGCTCCATGGCTTAGCTATCTGGGTGATGCTGTTCATCCGGTTAAACTACCGAATGAACACTCATTCGGTTCTGCTACCGAATGGGAAGGTAAGGAGGCTGGCGGCTCAACGGTGTTCGCGCCAATAAGTGTCCATTTTCAGTTCAGTTCCATAGTTTGGGCGCTGAACACCGCTGGCCGTTCGGGAGGTAAAATGGCAGACGAACAAAGGCCACCCAGCGTTCATCAATTAAGCTGCGGTTAACCGCAGCTTCTGGGCGGTCAATTGACGGCACACTCCAGCTCCCAGGTGGTCCATCGTTCGGTAGTTTGTTCGGTAGATGGAATCTACCGAACACCCTGGCAGAAAGGCCACCTTTCAACAGAGAAAATAACAGCTCTGAACTGCAGGGCCATAATCTAAAGGGAGCAGGCGAGCAACCAGGCTTCTCCAGTGTACAGTGGTGAGGTTGGTTCCGCCACAGTCTCCTTGACGCATCACAGTGAACTCTCTAGGTCTGAGGAAACCGTAGAAAGCCAAAAAGATGGCAGATTTAATGACCAAATTAGTACTATGGTCAAACTGGGATTTGTCCAATAGATCGCTAAGGAGCCTTATTATTGGACCGTCAATTGGTAACCTAGCAGTGCTTGGAGGAACTGTGATCTTAAAAATACTTTTAACCCCTTAAGGACACATGACATGTGTGACATGTTATGATTCCCTTTTATTCCAAAAGTTTGGTCCTTAAGGGGTTAAGGATTTTCTTGATGGGGTAGGAAGATAGAAAAGGAGCGTGGTTAGGGAAGGTAGTGAGGATGTGGTGTTGTACTCCAGTAAGGTAGAGTTTGATAGTGTTGTGTGAAAGTTTTAGGTGTAGATGGCAAAAGGAGGCAAAAGCCACCATGGTTTTGATGGAAAGGTCACCTTGTAAGCAAAACTTGGTGGTAAATTTGTTAAAAGTAGTCAGTACCCTAGGTGTTGGGAGACAGTGTGTGGTGCATGAGTGCTTGTGTGTGGAGTAATAGTTAGTTTAAACCAGGATTATCCGGTGGAACGGTGGTGTCCTGGATGGTTGGAGGTGGGCCTGGCCAGAGACCTGAAATTAAGGGCATGAAAGAGTGTCAGCTGAGTTGTGGCACCAGGGGTGTGGAACGTTGGATGTTTCTTTAAAGACTGTCTAGGCATTCGACTGAGAGTGCCCTTGGGCCCCCACATGTGTCTACTAAAACGGAGGACAGGCGTGCCCTGTTGGGGTCTACAAATGGTTGGGCAGGGGATGGGTATACCGTGAAGTGAAATTAAATAGCCTTAGAAACCAACGCGCACACCCGCAGTGTAACTCTTGGGGTGAATCC